AAAATTGTTTGATTTTTAAAGCCCTTCATAACCAGCTCTCTTCTACCTTTTTCAGTCTTCTTACACTTTATTCTTCTCCATATATTCTTCAATCTTGAGATCCTGTCCTCATGGCTGTTCCTTGCCCAAGACATTCCACCTGATTTGGGGCATTTTCATAAAGGTAGCTGGGTGGTGCAGTGGAGAGGCTGCTGGACCTGGAGTCAGGAAGATCTGAGTTCTAATCTGGGCCTCAGATAGTTATTAGCTGTGTGACCCTGGGCATGTCTCTTCACCTCAGTTTCCTCATCCATAAAATGTAGATAACAGTACCTACCTCACAGGGTTGTTGTAAGGATCAAATAAGCTAATATTTGTAAAGCAATAAGCATAGCATCTGGCACATAGTAATCACTACAAAAATTCTAATTCTCTTCCCTTTCCCTCCCAGTCTACCATGCCTCGAACACTCTGCCTTCCAGACTCTGCCTCTTGGTTTCCTTCAAGTTTCAGATAAAAATCCCAACTCCTTCTGCAAGATGCCTTTCCCAATTCCCCTTAATGCCAGTGCCTTCCCTTTGATATTATCTCCAATTTATCCTGCATACATTTTGTTCGTCCTTAGTCGTATGCATGTTATCTTCCCCATTAGATTATGAGCTCCTTGAGAGTAAACACTGTTTGTGCCTTTCTTGGTGTCCCCAGTGCTGAGCACACTGCCTGGCACACAGCAATAAATGATGATTGACTTGACGGATTTGATACACAGATTATTCTTGTTTATTTTTTGTTTGTTTAGTATTATATGAGATTTGGTAATTTTAGGTAGCTATGGGTAGTCTTGTTCTCAGATGGAAGGAGATTTAGAAAATAAATCATTTGGTAAATATGAAGAAGTTTGTTCAAGCACAGTATACTACAAGACGAAGAAGAGAAGAAACTGGGATAAATGAGTGAAGGATTCCAAGAAAAAGCAAGTGATAAATCTACACCGATCTAAATCTAAACCAATTGGTGCAACCTGTGGAACATGTGCCAGTCCTCTGAAACTGAGGCACAGTGGCAAGAAGTACACCGTTTCCAATAGTGCTTAAAATAGCTTGATCTCCTCTTGGCCAACGTAATGCCCTACTGCCACGATAACACACGTTTATGCTGCAAAATACCTTTCAACTTCAAAGGAGGCAAAGCCATCCTCATCTGCTCTAATTCCCAATTCATTAACTTACATGTTAAACAATTGAGTGTCTTACTATTTACAAAGGTGAAGCTTCCTGAACATAGGAGTTGTTTCATTTCTTGTATTTATGAACCCAGCATACGGCCTGGCACATAAAGGTGCTTAAAAAGGGCTGGTTGATAGAATGTTGAAGAAAAAGAAAAACAAACACCATGCTAGGTTCTGTAAGAAATGCAATGAAATATAACATATGGTCCTTTTCCTGTAGGGGCTTTAAATCCATTCAGGTAGGCAAGGCAGATATACAAAAATATACTAATAAATAGCATATGGATAGTATAGACAGTAACTGCTCTAGGAATCAAGGGTCACTGCAATGAGCTGGTAATTTCAGGAAGGTTTCATGGAAAAGATGGGATCCTTGAAAGGTGGAGGTTTTAGGGGATGAAAGGCAGGGAAAGATATTCCAGGCAGGGGGAACACATAATAAGCACTATAGAGATGTTAGCTATTTTCAGAAAGACAGATTAGAGTCAGTTTATAGAGGGCCTTGAACGTTAGACTAAAGAATTCAGACATTATCCTGTGATTGATACAAATTCTTATTCAGGAATCTTTGGTTTGGTTTCATTTCCTTCACTTGAGAATGCGAACCTGACATTTCACTCTGATGGCATTTCTTTTCTTTTCACTTGTTGAATCTCTAACCATCCTTTAAAGTCAATCTTAAATGCCACTGCCTCCACGAACCTTGCATCAAGTTCCTGGGTAATAAATTACCTTTCTCACCTTAGATCCAAATACATTTTGCATATGTAACTACTGATGGTAGTATCACCTGGGGGATTGGGAAAGGCCTCCTGCCAAAGATAAGGAGTCTTGAAAGAAGCCAGGGAAACAGAGAGAGTGAAGAGGCAGAGCCTTCCAGGCATGGGGCACAACAAGAGGAAATGGTGGGTCACATTGGAGAAATGGACCATTGTAGCTGGGCCACACAGAGTTTGTGGAGGGGAGTAAAATGTAAGAAAACTAGAAAGGCTTGAGAGTTACATATGCAAAATGTTATATTTGGATCTAAGGTGAGAAAGGTAATTTATTACCCAGGAGCTTGATGCAAGGCTCATGGAGGCAGTAACAAGCTGGTTGGAAAAATGAGCGAACAAAAAAAGAATTTCACCATAAAAAAGCTATTATAATGACAGAATGTTTAAAAAATTAATATAAAAGAAAATGACTCCATATTCTTCACAAGGAAAGTCTCAAATAAAAACACAGCTAAGGCATGAATTTAATTAGAATTCTTAGAAAAGATGATTCAGTTTAAAAAAAACAATTAAAATGCACTTTTAAAATGAAATAAGAGTGCTAGAGGGAAAAAAAACTGATACAGAAATGAGAGCTATGGAAGAAAGAATTAGAAAGGAGGAATTAACAGCTTGGCACAAGAGGTACAAAACTTTGCCCAAGCAACAAACTCCATTAAAATTACAATGAGACAAACAGAAGCCAATGCCTCTGTGAGATAACAAGAAATTTTAAAACAAAAGTAAAGACTTGAGGAAGAAGGGGAAAAAGGAGGAGGAGAAGGAGGAGATGGAGAAGATGAAGAAGGAGGAGGCGGAAGAGAAAGAGGAGGAGGACAAGAAGAGGAGGAGGAGGAGAAGAAGAAAACGTAAGGTATCTCATAGCAAAACAAAGAGGAAAAAAAATTCCACAATCATTGGACTACCTGAATACCATAAACAACAAAAGAGCCTAGACATCATATTTCAAGAAATCTTAAAACTGCCCACATTTCTTTGAACCAGAAGGCATAGAGGAAAAAGAAAGAATCCACCAATCACCTCCTGAAAGAAATCCCAAAATGAAACATTATAGTCATTATAGTCAAACTCTAGAGATTCCTGATTAAAAATACTGAAAGCAACAAGAAAGAATTCAGGTATAGATAGTATTCACTTTAAATAAATTTGCATTGCAAATCTGACTCCCCATCAATGGGTGGCAGGACAACTTGCCAGCCCAGGCTGGAACATGAAGCCCCAAAAGGGGAGGAAGAGGTCTGTGGAATGATCCATTTACATTAAGCGAGAACTGGCTGTAAGAAGGAGCCAGTCAGGATCACACACAATTAGCTGCCACCACTATTAAGACTGTTGTTGTTCATCCTATGTTCTTGAAGAAGATTAATGACATCAGGAGGGTGATGTCTTCATTTACAATGAACTCGATTTAAATGAGAGAGAGCTCTGAAAGTTATCAGCTTCACTCTCTCTTTCACAGTCATCAGAGTCCAGTGAAAAGACATAGCTCAGGACAACTGGCAATGGCCCAGGATGCAGTGGGAGACCTTGGCCTTTTAAAGCAAAGGTCTTTCCTAGGTCTCAGTTTGCCTTCTGCCACTATCTCTTCCTTTACCTGTCTCAAATGAAGAGGTGGTATTACTCCTTACAAAGTTTAACCATTCTCTGACTGCTTCTTCTGTCAACCCTACTCTATCACTTATTTTCAATCCCTCCCTGCCTACTGGCTCCTTCTCTACTACCTACAAACATGCCCATGACTCTCTTTCCTAAAAAACAAGAACAAAAAAATCCTTACTTGATCCTTCCATTCTCTTTAATTATTGGTCCTAGATCTCTTCTGTCCTCCAGGGCTTAACTGCTAAATCCAATGGTCTTTTCTCAAACCTCATTCTCCTCAATCTCTCTGCAGCCTTTGACTCTGTTGGTTACTTTCTTTCCTCTAGGTTTTCAAGACTCTCTGATTTCTCTAGGTTCTCCTCCTACCTATCCCAGTAGATTCTCACATGTACTGAACCTGCCCTAACCTCTCTGCTGACCTCCAATCTAGCTTCTCCAACTGCCTTTCAAACATTTCCAACTAGATGTCTGTTAGACATCTTAAACTCAACATGTTCAAAACTGAACTCATTTTCCCTGCCTCCCCAGTTCCCTATTACTGAAGTGGGCAATACCAGCCTCCCAATCCCTCAGGCTCATAACCTAGGAGTCATCCAGCATTACTTTCTCTCACCTCCCATACCCAAGCTGTTGCTAAGCCCTGTCCATTTCACCTTTGCAACATCTCTCCAATACTCCCCCTTTTCTCCTCTGACACGGACACCACTCTAGTGCAGACCCTTATCACCTCACATCTGGATTACTGCAGTAGCCTACAATAGAAGGTTCTGCCTGCCTCAAGCCTCTCCCCAACCCACCCTAAGCCACTAAAATGTTTTTTCCTAAAATGCAGGTCCGATCATGTCACTTCTCTACTCAATAAACTCCAGTGGCTCCCTACTGCCTCCTGGAGCAAATACAAAATGTTTTGTGTGGCATTCAAAGCCTTTCATAACCTGCCCTCTCCTACCTTTCCAGTCTTCTTACATCTTACCCCTCAACATGAACTTTTCGATCCAGCGACACTGACTTCTTGGCTGTCCCCCATGTCTCGAACGCTCTCCCTCCCTCTTCTTCTCCTGTTACAGGTCTCTCTGGCTTCCTTTAAATCCCAACTAAAATCCCACCTTCTACAGGAAGCCTTCCCCAGCCCTTAAGTCCAGTGCTTTCCCTCTGTTAATTATTTGCTACTCCTCTGGTACATCACTTGGTTTGTTTACATTTGTTTGCATGCATTGTCCCGCGTTAGACTGTAAGCTCCTTGAGGACAGAAACTGTCTTTTGCCTCTTTTTGTGTCCCCTGCACTTCGCCCGATGAGGGGCAGAGCTTACTAAATGCTTATTGACTGGCTGTCCCTCTCAGAGGGACCCACGAGGGGGATGGGCCGGGGCCGAGGGGCAGCGCCTAGGGCGGGGGAGGCCCGGCCGGCGGCACCCACCTCCCGCAGCAGCGTCACGTCCCCGTGCTGGATCTCGTAGAGCTGGATGACGCCAGTGCCCCGGGCATAGTTGCCCAGAGTCACGAATTTGGCGCTGCAGGGCACCCACTTGCAGTCAAACACCGTGTAGTTGAGGCTCTTCTGGATGTGCACGATGATCTGAGGCTTCTCGAAAGCCGTCATGGCAGGACCGCTCGGGACGCCTGCCCGCTCCCGCGTCCGTCGCTAACCGGGAAACCAACCCCGGCCTCACTCTCCACAGAGACCGTTTGACCTTCCCGCTTGCCGTACCCCGTATCCGCGCCCCCCCCAACGGAGAAAGTTCATTTAGTTGTCGGTATCGATGCCTGATCGTTATTGTGACAATCCGCGGCTTCAGACGAGAAGCTGCCTCTCTTATTCTTTCCATGACTTTCTTCCACTCAGGGTAAAGAGATTCCGTGTGGTTCACCCCAAGATTTCGGGTGCTGAAGAGATGGAAAGACTCAGGCGCAACGCCGGTCAGCCTTCTAGAGAAATTAAAAGAAGGGGGTGGAGCTATCCAGTGACGTAAGGGAGCGTGTTGGGTCTTCGACGCGCGCCTGCGCCTTGCCCCATTCCACGTGCGGGAACCGGAAACACCTGGAGTAGTAGTTCCTTGTTGTGCAGCATGGAAGCGGCGATGGAAACGCAAAGCGCGGCGGAGGACGGGGACGGCTTCACCAGGATTTCTTGCACAAGTGGCAAACGGGGCAAAAAGCGGCGGGCGGAAGAGCAGCAACCGGAGGGCCACGACAGCGGTGGCCAGATGGATATTGAGGGACCCCGGCCTCACAAGAAACCCGTTTTTCCTCCTTTGTCCGGGGACGCATTCTCGGTACAGTCCCGAGGGAACGGGGGCGGGAGAGAAAGGTCGGGCGGTTTGTTTCCTTTTCAGTTCCAGGTATTTTATTTTATGCTTTTGAAAACGTTAGTCTGACGGAGACTCCACAGGTTTCACCAGATGACCGATAGGGCCCATGACACGAAGGATGAACCCCTGGTTCGGCCGCTTTAAGTACGGGTGCCCCTGGATTTCAAAATCCCTTCCGCCCCCCTAAACTCTAAACACCATTTACGGTTTTATTCGGTGGAATATGAATGTTTCAGGGCTGCTGTGCGTGAATTTTGCACGGAGGAGATTAATAACAGTTATTGAATGAGGGAGTGCCTCTACATTAGGAGACAGGGACATAGGCTATTTTTTTTTAATCTGTCACAGAAGTTAATATATCAAAGTAACAACTGAGATGAGAGAGAAGTTTGCATATCTAAGCAGTAACTTCTAAGATGAAAGATAATTATCAGGTGAGTTTTAAGATCACCTGTAGCATAGAATTTCTTGTACGTTGTTTTTCTTTTTTGAGGGAGTGATCTGAATTATTTTCAGTTACTTAGTTAGATTTGCAAAGGATTGATGATTAGAGGGAAGAGGCAGCAATGAATATTATTGACTGCCGCCTCTCACAGCTGCTGGGCAGAGGCGGGGGTGGGGGTGGGGTGTGAAATCTAGGTCTGGGGAAGGCTGGAACACTGTATAGTGGATAGAGCTGATCCACATAATCTGGAAAACTTGGGTTCAAGTCCCTTCTCTGAATGTGTGGCATTGGGCATGTCACTTGACCTCTTAGTGATCTAGGTTGCTCTCTAGGAAAAGTTTCAGAGAAAAGGGCTGACCTGCTTTGACAGAGGGTGATATCTCATTGACCCTTTTCCCTGATTTCACAGGGAGATACTTTATGTTATATTTATCTGTTATGTTGTCATATTTCTTCAATAGAATGCAAACTGAGGAGGGTAGGGACTATGCCATTTAAAAATCTTTCTCCACCACCTAGCTTAGTGCCTTGCACATATATAGTGGTCCTCAGATGACAGTGTGTTTTTGGAACCCAGGCACAAGTTTGTCTAGTGTTAGAAGCTGCTAGATCTTTGGTAGTTGAAACCTTCAAGGACCCAATCCTGAAGTCAGGAATAGGCTTTTGTGGTCTTATTTATTTGCTATATAAAAAAATGTAATGTTTAGGTTTTATTCCATAAAATAAATAAGGGATCACCTTTCTCTTATTTCTTAATTGTATATTTTTGTTACAGAGTGGCAAAGATGAAATAGGGAAAATTCCAGTGCCTGCCAACAGATACACTCCATTAAAAGAAAACTGGATGAAAATATTTACACCTGTTGTAGAACACCTGGGACTTCAGATAAGATTTAACTTAAAGTCAAGGAATGTAGAAATCAGGGTAAGGAAAACATTCAACTTTTTCCAAACAAACATTTCTTTCTTTTATACAGGCTGAGGCATGATTGATCTTTTCCTTATTGTTATTCTGTTTAATAACCTTTTTCTGTTGTCAGTAATGTTTTAGAATGAAACATTTATATTCATCATGTATTTCTCCATTTTACTATGGTTTTATGGATATTGTGATATTCTCCAATTTGTAGCCTTATGGTATCAATAGGAGGAATTTTAAAGATGTGGTTGGAGGACCTTGTCATGTTTTTTGTAGAACTTCTCTTCATTCTTTGCAAAATATGTTGTTTGTTTTTGGTGGTGGTGGTGGTGGTACTCTTGAGCCTTTGGATTGCTTTAGAGTTGCTCAATAAATTACTGTTTTCTTCATCTCTTTCCAATGAAACCTCTTTCCATTTAGCAGCAATTTCCTTTGCCTTTTATGAAAGCAACAGTTTCAGTGCTATTAAGTTCTTTCAGTAGTGTCTAGTTAAATGGTCTAAAAACCGTGATTATTAGGACCCCTTCTATCCCTTCTTTTCCACTCTCAGTCCACACCCTTTGGATGTCCCACAGGGCTCTGTCTGGACCCTTTGAAGGGAGCTACAGAGAATGAAGGCCTGTTTTTGTTCTTGGTTTTTATCATGTCCAAAGATTTCATCACCTAGTGGTCATCGTGCTCACGATCAGCCTTTCCCTACTTAACTAGATTGGTCCTTTCACATTTGTCTGTCACATTTGTCATACAACATTTGTAATGTCATAACATTGCCTGTGATAAAAACTTGCTTCAGCTTGGCTAGAGCTTACGCTGGCATAGCCTTCCACCAAGGATCACTTCCAGTGAGTGAAGCACTTCTGACTTTTGGATATACTTTTAGATATACTTTAAAATATGTAAATGTATTTTTATACTTTGATAAAAATATATTTTTAAATACATAAAATGAAACAATTTATTTTTTCCTTTCCTTTTTTAACTGCTAGGTTTTTTCCCCTTATTTTGAGATTGTTGTAATAGCTTCATGACTGGTTTCTTATCTCAGGATCCTCTGGTCTCTCTTAAAAACATCGCCACCAAGGGGCAGTTAGGTGGTATAGTGGATAGAGCACTGGCCCTGAAGTCAGGAGGACCTGAGTTCAAATGTGGCCTCAGACCAAATACTTGACACTTAGTAGCTGTGTGACTCTGGGCAAGTCACTTAACCACAGTTGCCTTAATAAAAAACAAACAAACAAAAATTGCCACCAGATTAATTTCACTAGAATGACACTGTTTTTATTGTTGTCACTCAGAGATGGTAAGGGAATTTGAAAAACAGCAAATGAGTAATAGTTGAAAAGAATAGGGATGTTTACCCTGCCTTTTGTGGCTGAACTCCTTGAGAAGGTCATCTGCAATAAAGGCCTTCACTTCCTTTCCTCTCACTTCTTAACTCTGTCTTCTGTTTGTATTTTATTTATTTATTTATTCTATCTGTCTTCTGACCTTATTCAACCTCAAATGCTTTCTCCAAAGTTACTAACATCGTTTAGTTATCAAATCTAATGGCCTTTTCTCAATCTTCATCCTTCTTGATCTCTCTGCAGCCACTGACATTGTTTACCTCTTCTGACTGTTGCTTCTCAGTCTTTGCTGTATCTTCATACGGGTCGTGCCTGCCTGCTAACTGTAGGTGTCCCACAGGGCTCTCCTGGTTAATCTTCTCCTCTCCCTCTATACTGTTTCATGATGTGAAGGGCTATTATGATAGTGCTTTCATCAGCTTTTGTGGATCCAATTAACTTACTGCTTATGACTCTCATATGTATTTATCTAGCCCTAATGCTCTGCTGAGACTTCCTGTCATGAAATTCCAACTGCTTTTCAGACTCTCAAACTGGGTTTCCAGTTATTTGTGTGTTATCTCCCTTCTTGTGAGCTCTTTGAGAGTAGATGTTTTCTTTTACCTTTCTTTTTTATTCCCAGGGCTTAGTATAGTGCCTGGAACCATAGTGGGTACTTAATAAATGTTTATTGACTACTCACTGAAAAGAAATGATAGGGTAGAATTACATAACGTAATAGTCTTTCACATATTTGAAGACATTTATCTGGAAGACAGATAAGAGATAACCTCACCACAGAAGCCAGGAGGAAGACCAGTGAGTTTCAGAAGTTAAAGCATCAGATTCACCACTTTCTAAGGGAGAACTTTTTCCATGGGTAGAGATGTTCAAAACTGGAGCGTCCTGCCTTGTTAATATACTAAATTCCTGAGCAAGAGCTGAATGATGCCCTCAGGGTTGTGGTGTGTATTAGGACATTTTATTAAATGTTCTCTAAGATTCTTTTGATGATTTAATTTGGAAACCTTTGCTGAATTGTCTTTATAGTCAGTGGGGAGTCAAAACTCATTCTGTCTTTTAAGACTTTTGGTAATCAGTTTTCTAACCTTAAACACTTACTGTCCACTCATGTAAGTTGATATACTTATTGTTTTTCTGACCTTTTCCCTGACCATTGCTTCCTCCCTGTTTGTACCCATGTTTCGATCTTCCCCTGAAGAAATGCCTTCTGTCTGCAGATCCAAATTCTATTCATTTTTCTGCATTGATTTTAAATCTGCACTACCTTAATGAAGCTGGTCATTTCATATTCCATTGACTAAATTCCTTTTATTTAAGGAGTATTCCTCAAATATTCCTTATTTATGTAAAAAGGAAAATAAGTTTATTCAAATAAATAAGTTGTTTACATAAATAAAAAATAAGGCATTTTCCTGTTCCATAATTTGTGGTTTTTTTCCCCCACTTCACTTCTTTCCTTATGTCTTATAATTTGTATTTTATATGCTTTGTGTGTACATCATAGGAGGTTGGTATTTTTTTAGAAGTCATATCTACCCATGTGGAACAAATATTTTCTCTTTTAATGAATCTGAAAAAGAATGTGATGTTAGCCTTGAAATCACTTTTTATAGTGGAGTTTACATTTAGTCACTTAAGTATTGCTTGTTCTTCAAGCATGTGATTTGATTTAGAGGGTAGAAGAGAAGAGAGGTTTAACTTGCCTTGTTTGCCTGAGGGATGCTCATCTAAAACACATTGAGCACCTCCTACTTCCCAGAATCCTCCAGTTTCATTGGCCATGACTGGGTTATGGTGTGCTTTCCAGGCTTTTTTATTTTTACTACATCCACCAGAATAATTTTGTATGTGAGATCGTGGCTTCCTCTGTGTGCTAAGCCCCCAGATTTGGCCGTAGCTCTGCTGTTTTGGCCCAAGAGTTGTAATAGCTCTTTTGAGTTGCCCCAACTGGACTCATGGAAAGCATGAATTGTATGCTTTCATTTCTATTTCTCCTAAGTGCTCAGTGGTTCTGCCACATACCTTAGTGTATCACTTCTCACCTTGACTTTCATTTGCTTTATATCATGGTGTGGCTTAAATAATCCTGTTGTGATTAAGTGGCAAGACCAATGTTAATGATGGTCATGGATGTGGGACCTGGAGGGAAAGGGAGCAGAAGCAGTACTGGAGCTACAGATTGGTTACCTTGGGCCACTGCTTCATATTCCAGGGCTGTGGGAAAGAACTGAAGGGAGGGACATTTGGTTACATTGGCTTTTCTGTCAGAGTTTTTAAAGGAGTCAGCTGGTAGGAGGAGGGCTGGTGTATTTTGGATTAACCTAGCCTGTTTTTGAGTGGTGGAAGAGTCAGTGATGAGAATCAATGGATTGTGTGCAACAGAAACACTGGTTTAGACTGGAAGAGGTGGTCCAGCTGGAGCATGCGGGGTATTTGGTACCCGGCCCCTTTTCCAGATGTCCTACTTGATGCATTGGGGTGTTTATAGTTATGTGTGAAGGTATGGTTATGGGTTGTGTTGTTTCAAAACCCCATAACCTTATGTACCAGATGAAGCTATGGTCAGATTCAGCTTGGTGCTACCTATCTGAATTAACACTAGCTACTTTACTCCTAATTTCCCCAGAGAAGGCCCCTAGCGGTGGGCATGTGGAACAGTTAAATATGTTTCTATACTTTAAAAAAATGTAAAGTTCTAGTAGGAGAACGGGACATCTTTATGGTCAAAGCAAACCACTTTTTAGAAAGAAGTGCCTGCTTTGTCACTTAAAGGCCCTTTCAGTTTGAATCCATTCCTGTTTTTCCAAGACAATTATACATTACTCCCCCCTATATAATCTGTGCTCCAAAGAAACTGCCCTGTTTGCAGTGTATATGTGTATAACATTGCATATCCCACCTCCATGCCTTTTCACAACCCATCTCTTCTGCCTGGAGTGCTCTTCCTCTTCATCTCTGATTTTTGGAATCCTTAAATCCCTTCAGGGCTCAGTTATATCTTATAAGAATCCTGTTCTGCAGTCGTTAGTCCTCCTCTTATGCATACTACCCTTCCCCTCCCTAACTGTCACCCCATGCCTCACTTTGTGTTTTACATGTCCTCTTAGTGGAAGGATAGAGAATGACCTTAGAACTGGGAAAAACTGACTCCAAGCCCTGCCTTGGACAGATAGTGGCTGTGTTGTTCTAGGCAGCTCACTGTCTATGACTGTTGACCAGCCTCATTAAAAGGAGTTTACTGAGAGTTCCATATACCATGAAAAGTAGGGTCTGTTCGCTATCCCTGTTTAACCTCTCTGTAGAATGTAAGCTCTCAAAGGCAGGGACCATCTTGCTTTTCTCTTTTATTCCCAGTGCCTAAGAGATTAATAAATGCTTATTGATTGTTGGTTAAAATCTACTAGGGACAGTTAATGCAAGCGTTAAGTGTTTTGAAGTAAAAGTTCATAAATTGTGGAGCCTGAGGAAGTTTGTGTATAGAGTTGATAGTAATTCAAAGAGACCTGCATACTTTTTCTTCTACTTAGGTTCTTAACAAAATTATGTAAACACTTGATTTGTCAACCCAGTGTTTTATGTTTTCTTACAGACTTGTAAAGAAACCAAGGATGTAAGTGCTCTGACAAAAGCTGTCGATTTTGTGAAAGCTTTTATTCTTGGATTTCAGGTGGAGGTGAGTAATCTCATTACATTTCAAATGGTGATGTAACTGAACCTGAAGTTTTCATGGATTTGGCATCTCTTGAAAATTGAATTTCTAGTTTGTTTAACTTCAGCTGTGGATTGGGAGTTTCATATAATTTTAACACTTGGAGAAATAATTAATTGACCCTTTTTTCATTTTGAGATCTGTATTTTGTTTCTTTATTCCTCTTTCCCATTCCCCAGCATTTTTATATAAAATTAACTTTTAACTTTTCCTCTTTTTAAATTTTTAGGATGCACTTGCTCTCATTAGGTTAGATGACCTCTTCCTAGAATCTTTTGAAATTACAGATGGTAAGTGCTCTTTTTCTGCTATATTACCTTTATAAACTTTGGAAAGCTGTGTTTGATTTCCTTGTGTGCTAACCTACTCAAATGTATCATGCTCCTTTTTTGACTTGTCTTCTAGTGGTGAAAAAACAATTAGAAATAATACCATGCTAAAGGAGTTTGTCTTCCTTGCATTTGTTCTTTTTGCTTATGTTGTTCCCTAAACCTAGAATGTCACTTTTTCTTTCACTGAAATTTCTTGGTATTGCAGTTTTACTGATACATTTTTTTCACAGCCCAACTCAAATGCTCAACTTCTCTTGCCTATGAATTCTTACAGATCTTTTGAGTTGCGCTATTCATCCTATTAAGAAAGTATGAGCTATCTGCTGGCATTTCTTCTTAAGGGGCAGTCATTGCCTCTTCCTTTGAGGAATACCTCTTGCTTTTCAACTCAGAGCACCTTATCTATACCTTTCTTATATAGATATTCAATTTCATGTATAATTACTTGTGTATATATCTTATCTTCCTAACTGTATTGTTAGGAAGTGTTTGATTTTTGCAGGCAGGCACTATGTTTTCTGTTTTTTTTCTCCTAATATTTAGCACACTGCCTGTACTTTGTGGACACTCAATAAATGTTGGATGAGTATAAAGTAAAATATAATTAGATGATGCTTAAAAGTTGTGATATGTTGAATCTCTCCCTGACAAACTTTTTTTTTCCATTTTTAATTCAGTAAAGCCTTTAAAAGGAGATCATCTTTCTAGGGCAATAGGAAGAATTGCTGGGAAAGGAGGAAAAACTAAATTTACCATAGAAAATGTGACACGGACGCGGATAGTTTTGGCTGATTTGTAAGTATGAAACCTCAGAAGAGAAAAATATTTTATAACTTACACTTTTCTGGTTCAAAAGAAAAAGTTGTTTTTAAAATTTTGTTTTAAATACATTAAGTTCATGGAATATTAATGTTAGAGCCTGGTCTGAGATTTTTCATCAGCCATGACGGCACTATGTAGAACCATGATTCCTTCCTGTCTTTTTAAAAGTCAGATTTCAAATAGTGTCCACAGGAAAATTTGTTGAGTAGGTACTTTAAACATAAAGCATGAGGTTTTGCCCAAGAAAAACCTTTGAAAAGTAGCTGCCTATATTCACAAAGAAGATAAAAGGACTTCAAAGTGCTAAGAGTGAAGCTCAGATTAACCCTAATTCGAGTGAAAGCTGATCTACCTAGATCCGCATTTTAGTGACAGACAGATGGCATAGAGGTTATACAGTGTAATGAAACCACCAAGTAAATGGGATGATTGTGAGGAGAGAGTTTACCAGAAAATCCAGAAACTTAGGACATGCAGAGATAGGACTTAGAGATGATGAATTTCTAGATTCTGTTTTTTCCCCAAGAGGAAAAAATTGTTTTGTTCTGGGTGGGGGAGGAGAAGAATAAACAAACAAAATCTTAGAGATTTTTAGAAAATAATTGATGCATTAAAAAATGTCTTATTTAAAAACCACTGTTAGTTTAGGAACATGCAAGTATCTTCTACATACTTTGGTTACATTATAAAATTATATTTTGGTATTTAACATTTTATTTGAGTAGTTTACTTAGATAATAAAGTTATTATTATAATTTACTTTTGAATGTGTTGGTTAAAATGAATCCAGAAGCTGTTGAATTTAAAGAGATCAGTCAGTTTGGGGAGCATTCCTAGAACACGATTACTGGCACATAATAAGTATATAATGCTTGTTGATAAATTTTTCTAGTTTAAGTAAGCAAAGACTTGGAAGAACAGTGGCTTATATTTGTACAGCACTTGATAGATTAGAAAACTTTTTCCCATATATTGCATTGCAGGCAGGCACTCTGTTTCCTGTTTATCTCTCCTAATAACTTTTTTGATTATCAGATTAAGTCTGCAAAAGTTAAATTTTCTGAGTTGCTTTTTGGCGGCTACCCATAGAGTAGCCATAAGTAGGTGTTGGGATTTTAACAACAGTCACTTGATGTGCAAGAAGTGGTGTAAAGGACATTAAAAATCACCCACTTAATGGTTATCAATAAAGAAATAATCATAATACCAGATCTAGACCTGGAAGGCACCTTCAAGGCCATCTAGTCCAACCCTCTCATATTTTACAATTTAGGAAAATGAGGCCAAGAGAGTGACTCACTCAAGGCTATGCATGGTATACAAAATAAAGAGTAAATAATTATTTAAATTATTTACTTAAGTTATAACCTGCTAGGTGGCTTAGTGGACAGAGCTCCAGGCCTGGAGTTCAAATCCGGCCCCAGACACTTACTTGGTTGAGTGGCCCTGGGCAAGTCACTTAATCCTCTTGGCCTCAGTTTTCTCATCTTAAAATGAGGATAATAATGTTTTCTCCCAGGGTTGTGTAGCTAAGATGACATTTTTAGTAGGCACTATGTACTGTTAGTGGTATAATAGTAATAATTATTATTATTAACCAATAAACAAAATGTTGCAGTTGTTTGTGCCCCGTCTGAAGTTTCTCCACTTTTGAAGGTTTCCAGGTTTCGTTGTGTATGCGATTCTGGTTCTCAAGATGTATTCTGTATTAGTTTGTGTAGGTCATAAAAGACATTGAAAGCAGATTATGCCACCAAAAAAGTAGCAGTGTTTCATATTAGAGTGAGAGTAGATTGACATTTCTGTTAGCATCTTTTCATTTGTATCCATTAGTAAATAACAAAGTTTCAAGTGAGGTCACTAAAGTTGAAGAATCCTCTGTGGAAGTTTTATGAAAAAAAATGAACGGGATTGGGTTCTATGAGGTTATGGTATGTGTTCAGTGACAGGTACCCACACCAGTGAAATCAGGGATCCTTCAACATGTGTTTTCTGAAGAGAATCCCTTCCACAGGGTCAACTAGATATAGAAAGCACTCATTTTCAGAAAAGAAGCTGGGGGGCCACCCCCACCCCACCCTCAGTCATCAAATATAATTTTTGACATGTGGAATTTTTTTTTTTTTTTTTGAGGCCAGGGACTTGCTTTTTATCTCTGTGTCCCTCACAATACCTCATACAAGGCCTTGCATATTGTAGATGCCAAATAAGTATTTCTTGGATCAAATCAATTTATTTGCTGAGCTAAATGAACAGCACTGTTCATTCATATGCTGAAGGTTTACTTGTGTTGGGGCAGCTAGGTGGCGCAGTGCATAGAGCTCCAGCCTTGGAGTCAGGAGGACCTGAGTTCAAATTTGGCCTCAGACACTTAACACTTACTAGCTGTGTGACTTTGGGCAAGTCACTTGACCCCAATTGCCCTCATCCAAAAAAAAAAAAAGGTTTGCTTATATTGAGACATGCTTTTCAAACTTTTATGTGTTTATTTCTTCTGCTCTGATGCAAACATGTACAAAGATACAATAGTTTCATGTGCCCAAAAGAGGAGCATTCTGAAGCGAGAAGAGTCATGGACTGTGTGGTGCATGGAACGGTTCTGGCCATCTTTGGTTTCATTCCTGGACCAAAATGCCTGCAGATCTTCTGAATTTGGTCACATTTAAAAGTTCCTTTAAAATTCTCACCATAGTAATGGTTTTCTAATCCGTGCTAGCTAGCATTAGTTACATTTCTCCCTATGAATTTTGGATCTAGGAGGCTTGCTGCAGAATGAATCTACTGATTCTTAGTAAAATCTTTCATTTTCTTATATACTTGTAAGTGAAGATGCTTAGATTCTGAACTTCATTGGATCATAGATTGAGTGTGAAGAATCCTCAGAGGTTGACTCGTCCAGTGATTTAATTTCACAGATGAGGACACTGAGGCTCAGAGAGGTGAGAGAACTTTCCCAAAGCCTTACAAATGAAAAGTAGAAAGGTCAGTTTCTAAAGCCAGGCCGTCCTTTAACCCAGTGTTCTTTCCACTCTACTCTGCTGTTGATTTTTAGATCACTTGGCCAGGAATTAACTGGGGGCAAAAAAAGCATGGACTGATTCTCTAACAAAGTAATTACTGAAAAAATGACTTCTGAAACTTCTCCTTGAGCCTAGATGGTATGGGTACTTGTAAGCTCTTTAACTGGTCACCATTTCTTGTAGATCTTTCTTTTTCAGTAGTGAGGATGGTGGTGATAAGGGCTAGATATTAGTTCCCAGGTAGAACAAGGGTCTTAATGACTAGAGATCTCTAATTTACTTTATCGGCAAACATTACGTATATTCCCTGGAACAAAAAAACAGGTTTGAAATGTACACCATGGCAAAGATCTGTATGGATGTGACTGCCCTTCAGGGACCAGGGAGTGGAGCTGTCAGCACTTGACCTCCTTACCCTGGAGCCTACTTCCCCGGGACCTACTGATGTGGGTGAAGGCATTACTTTTTGGGTCTGTGTAATCACATCTGTCTGAGAAAACAGTTATCTCAGCTCCTCTCTTACCATTGAGTACTCAGGTTGATCAGGTACTACTGCTGACACCCGGGCCCCACCCCAGAAACCATTTCTCCCTTCACTATCTCCAGACTCAGGGAGTGCAACTCCAACCCTCTCCCCTCAAAGGAACTGAATTTGAGTATCTCCTTGACTAAGAATCTACTACTTGCTTGGCCCTGCTTGGATAAATCACTTGAGGAAAAGAAAACCTCACCCTTTTGTTAGAGAGGTGAATGATGGGATGGAATATTAGATGTGCTGCCAGACCTGACCTATATATTGATTGGTGTATCTTTTTAAAATTTCTGTTAGAAGAGGAGGCTTGGGTGACTGGATGAGGGAAGGGAACATACCTAGAAATAACTGTGATGTAAAAATAAAAGGCATGAATAGAACTTGAGAGAGAGAGAAAGAAGGAACATTTCAGTCCTCCTAGCCACCAAGTGTCTAGACATTAGGCTTCTTACTATTAGGGTGTCAGATACCAGGCCTATGTGGAACCTGAGTGCCCATTCCATGTGTAGGCTATCCTTTGAATGTGATTTATACTTTCCCACATTAGAATAATCAGAAGATATGTTCAGGCATGCCTGTGGGGTTTGGCTGTCTGAATTACATGTCCCAATTTCCTTGTAGGCTCAACCCCTTCTTTCCTCTGATTCTTATAATCTAGCCATTGCTCAGATTTTTACAATCTAGCCAACAGCTCATAGATGCTCAGATTCCAAAGTCAGCCCTGTCAAGTTGTACAAATAACTCTGTTTCATAGGTGAGGAATGTGAAGTGATTTGTTAATAGTTACACAGCTAGCAAGTACCAGGTTTGGGATTTACGTTTTTTTCCTGATGTCGTTGGGAAACCTCTTTCTATCATGCTATGCTAGAAACCTTTTTTTTTTGTTTCTTTACTTCTCTAGAGTTTCAGAGGGAAAGACAACAAAAGTCCTTGCAAGTATTGTTCTCCTCTTTTTGAGGGAGTGGGAGGGTGGAGAGGTAAAAGGCCATCTGTTACCACCAAGATAAACACACTTGCTGTGGCCTGTTGAATTTTTTTTTTTGTAAGCCCTGTATGTTATAGGGCTCAGACTCATCAGATGAATTGTTGATTGTCCAAAGGTTACAACCACAGTCTTTTATGTATGATATATGATTCTTTAGAAAATATCACTTGGATAATTTTACAGCTTAGGTCTTGTTTCTCATTAAGTGGTTATTTTTTAAAAATGGCATTTATATTACAAACATGTTTCATTATTTTGTCTTTCAGGAAAGTTCATATCCTTGGCTCTTTCCAAAATATTAAAATGGCAAGAACAGCCATCTGCAACCTCATCCTTGGTAAATGCAATTAATAGCCTTACTTTTTTCTTTGGAAACATAGTAATGTGATACTAAAAAATCTCTTACATCATTCTTCAGTGAGAAACTTATTAGGAAGCAGGAAGTAAAAATTAGGTGAAGTTTTGGTGATGGTGGAAAAGAATTTTCCTCCTTTTACCTATAATTGGGAGAACAAAGGGATTTTTCACCTATTTTTTCTTCTCCTTTTCTTGAGGTTTAACTAGTGGCTTTCAGAAATACAGCTTATATCTGTTTGGATATATAAATGTTAGTAATGTATCATTCTTTAAAAAAGTAAAATGACAAGGAGAGAATCGCTAACAGTTGAGTCCGTTGTAATTTACCTGCTTAGCTCCATTTTAACTCATACAGAAATCATGATTTATTGATTTATAAGTGGTGTACATACGATGTCTTTGGAACCTCGCTATAGCCCTGTAAGATAGGTGCTACAGGGGTATCCCCATTTTACAGATGAAAAAACTGAGGTTCATGACAACTTGCTAAGGACAGTTCCAGTGCTGTTTCCTCTGTACCACCTTTCCTTTCTTAGTTATCAAAAGTGTCAATTAATTACTCTTTGTAACCAAATAATGTAATCACCAATTTTTGTCTTAAAATAACTATCTTAAAATTCTCTTTATTTCTGGCACAGGATGAAACTATGTCTCCTTTAGATATCTTTGGCTAATGGTAAAAGGATTTGAAAATACTGTTCTATAAGGAATTCCTTTAAATTTATACATAGGACTGAGCATAGGACATATGTTTTTTGGTTTTGTATTGCATAAACCCTAAGTGTAATCTGTTTGCTTTTTTCAGTATATTACCTATATTTTCTTTTCAAAGATAGTTTAGGAAAGTGGTTTATATTGGGACTTATTTGGTAACTACTATGACAAGTCTCCTGTCAACATTATTACGTAAATGGAAATTAGTAGCTCTTGTCCTTACATAGCTTTTCATGTAAATTTTGTATATGAAGTTTTTTGTTTTTTCTCTTCTGTAGGAAGTCCTCCATCCAAGGTCTATGGTAACATTCGAGCAGTGGCTAGCAGAGCAGCAGATCGATTTTAATTTCAAAATAAAGGACTGCTTTCTTCAGGTGGAGAAGGACTGCATGAGGAAGTAGCAACAGTGTTGAGCAGAGAAGCAAAATTTGTTTTTAAGCCAGAATCCCCTTTTCTATTCTTATTCAGAAACAAAAGAAAAAAACATTTTTCTAGTTATTCTAATACAGACTTAAATTTTTATATTTAAATAATATAGGGGCAACTAGGTGGCACAGTGGATAGAGCACTGGCCCTGGATTCAGGAGGACCTGAGTTCAAATCCAGCCTCAGACACATAACACTTACTAGCTGTGAGACCCTGGGCAAGTCAACTTAATCCCATTGCCTAGCAAAAACAAAAAAAAAAATACGAAAGCTATTTATCTTTTTTAGGTATAATGTACCTATTTATCTACTTTATGCTACAGTAGATCCACAATTGGGTCTCCAGGCACAGGGCCTGCAGTAAGATCTGAGTTCAAATCTGGCCTTAACATACTTATTAGTTACGTGACCTTGGGTGAGTCACTTAGCCTCTGTCTGCTTATTTCTTCAACTGTAAAACAGGGTTTATATAATAGTACCTACCTCACAGGGTTGTTGTGAGGATCAAATGCGAGATTTGTAAATTGAATTTCCTGGCACATAGTATGTACTGTTTTAATAAATGCATGTTACTCCTCCTTCTCCTCTTTAACTTTGAAGGAAATTGACTTTGCTAGAGAAGAGTTCTGATGAGAGTTCCTTTCTTGGATTGTAAAGGAAAGTTTCTGGACCTAAATGATATACTTCCTTAATGCCAAGAAAGATAGCTTATTAGGTGATGATGGCTGCTTTTTTATTTAATGTTTCACTACCTTCTGCTATGACCCAAGAGAAATTAATCTGGATACCTGTCCTGTTTGTAAAATGAAGAAAAATCTATCCATGAAAGTTGTTGAGGAAAATGTTTTAGGCACTTTTCAAATGTGTTTAATATTGCCAACTAAACAATAAAAATTAAACACATAAGATTGTTACTTTTACTACATCGTCTTTTTCAGGATATCTTGAGGCACCAAAAAGGTTTATTGAAACTAAATTTCTAAATAAACTAAACATTAAAACAAGCATAAAAATATTATTTTTGTTCACTTTGGTTTCAATTTAATAAGTAAAAGAATCATGGAAGTGATGTAATCTAAATTCCTCTCTCTAGGGGGCAGCTCAGTGGCGCAGTGGATAGAGCACTAGCCCTGGAGTCAGGAGGACCCGAGTTCAAATCCGGCCTCAGACACATAACACTCACTAGCTCTGTGATTCTGGGCAAGTCACTTAATCCCAGTTGCCTCACCAGAAAAAAAAAAAAACCAATTCCTCTTTCTACAGATGAATAAAGAAGAGGCCCAGAGTAGTAAAATGACTTGCTGGAGGTCACAGATCACTGTTGGTATAATTGGATCTAGAGCTCAAGTTTTATTCCCACTAGACTACCTTAATTTAAGAAGGGAGCTTGAGCTTGGAAGATCATTGTAGAGTTCTCGTTTGCTGATACAAAGCAATGAAAGATTCCAGAAATTCATATAACTTTTTGTTATTGTATTGGCCCCGGAAAATCTAAGATAAAGTTTATGGAGATTAAAGAGCTGTGAGTTTGAAGGCCAGGAGAATCTGAGAAGGGGTGAGGGGAAATGAAGCTCCATTTTAGCAAGTTGTGACATCCAAATGAAAATAATGCTGAATCTGAAGGCAAAGTAACTGGGGGTCTTTTGTTCTGTATATGATCTGAACAAACTTGCTATTTCTGTGTCTCTAAAGGAAGGGGTTGGACTTCTAGGGTCCTTTCCAAGTCCCCTTCAGAAAAGACCATGGCTACCTTACCCTGTTTCAAACCAATAGACCCTAGTATAGTGGGAATGGGGCCCTCATTTATGCATAATTGAAGTTGAGTATATCTAAGGACAGCTTATCTAGCTACCCTAGGATCTGTGTTTAGGGTATAGGACTTCTACACGGTTGGTTACTATAAAAAAAAACCTCATGGTTACATGAATTTTCAGAATTAATTTCTATACTTCAGAGATGAATGGCATTTCCCCCCTTCAATGACAAATAACTAGACATTTAATATTACCTTAGGAATTATATTTGTCACTGAGAATCTGTCTTTTCACCCCCCACTAAAATACATCAACTCCTTTAACATGACTTCTAACTAGATTGTCAAGAGATTTTTCCCTTTAATCAAAATGCTAGAATTTAATGTCTCCTCCTTAGCTATGGATCACTCAACAAAGATCACTTTGAACACATGGTAGCAAGTTTCAAATATTTTATTTTTTTATTCATAGTATACTATGAAGGTTCCTAAAGATCCCACACAACATGATGTAGCATGCAGAAGAAAAACTAACATTCAACATAAAACCATTCCCCCCAACACAAACTAAAAAACAAAACAAAAATCCCCCAATAAGGAAGTGATGTTTGCACTATTTTCTATAACGCCAGCTAAGATATGCACAAGCAAGAGAAATAGAAAGCATTTGCTAAAATATCTGTAACAAATACTTATGTACAAAAAATTCACAAAAGACTAGTTCCCCCTTGAAGCAGAGCACATGGCAGTTGACACTGGAAGAGATCAAACCACTGGCTGGGATAATAAGCCACGTACTGATCCAGAGGAAGAAAGTTACATGTAGTGGAGATTTTCAGTTTGAACATTAACATTTACCAAAGTTTGGCAACATTATCTTTTTAAATTATGCAAATTATGTAAACAAGAGGTACATTTCAAATCGATCTACATGCAAAACTCCATGTCATGCAAGGACACCAAGCACCTGGGTTTCTCTCTCACAGACAGAGCCCATGATGTGCAGCACTCAGTTGAAGGAACAGCTATGGCAGAGAGGTGCTCAATTGAAGAAAGTTCATACAACCATACTTTTCTATTGCTGATTATAAAACCAGTTAAATAGAAAAACTAGGAAAGACTGTACTGCCCTAAAAGTTTAATAACATTTTATTTCCAGCCAATAGTACCATTGCAGAAAGGGAAGGGTAGTTGGTAGAACATGATTCACTACTTTTATGTCACACAAATACAGCAAATTAGCATTACAAATCATGATTTGGGCAAATCTAGAAATAAATGTCAAACACTCTAGACCCGTTACAGAGATAGAGTACAAATTTGGATAATGGAAAGTTTCTTTTTTCTGTGGCATAGGTTAACAAGATTTTCCCCTTGTATGAAATATACGTGTATAAATGTGTACATAATACATATACACACGCATTAAATATCAGTTAATTAGACTACCTACAATAGGTTACATTACCTGCATTCTTCTAGTGCAGAAGGGAAACATGATTCCAACATTTAAGTTTAACGACAAACATTTTATCTCACTACACAATGTATCAAAAGTGAGAATTCTGGATAATTGCATGATATTCTCAAATCCTCATCTTTAAGCAATGCATTAAAACAACTCTAGCTGTCATGTATAAAATAACCCATTACAGCTGATAATATACATTGCTTAGGGATATTTTAATAAATGCAACTGTTTCCACAGTTACTAAGTAACAGAATGAAGTGGTCACAAGCATTGCACAGTTACTATATGAACACAAGGACTAGTTCTTGGCATTAGCAATGAAATTACATTTTTTTCATTCACCAGAAGTGTATTAAAAGCTGCTTAGCAAAGAGACACAGTCCCTGGTAATATATTAACAGGTATAAATAAACTTATAGACTCCTGTGTTACAAAAAAGCAATTAAGGTAAAGAGCTGGAAGTTAACAATGCTTTATCAATCTGTCATGAGACATCTGAACATCACAGGAAAAGGAAAACAGATGACCTAACACCCAGTTTAAATTTTACAGACTTCTACTATATATATAAAACTGTGTGAAATAAAAGTAAGTATATATCCATATTTCAAACTGTTTATGTTCTGCTTGGCACTTTTGTATTCTAGTTTTGCTTCTGAATCAAGTATATTAAATTAAAGCCAACCTACTACATATAGAAAGCTACATATATCTATATATAAATATTTACATATGTATATATAGATATTTCCTTGTTATAAAAGATGAGGAAAAATAAATTAAAAAGCCAACCCTTCCCTTTCTCCACCACACTGATATGCTCTTTTCCATCTTGCTGTCCTTCAGACTTTAAAGTGCTACACGGAGTTATTGAGAGAATAAGAGTTCAATAACACTTAGTTGGCTTCATGAGGCTCATGTTGGAAAAATGTGGCTTCACAGAGAAAAATACTTCCATTTAAATACACAGATAGCGTTGCTGGACGTCTTGAGCAGATCTTCAGAGATGGAGAAGAAAGCAAAAGTGTTGGGCAGTGCTCTAAAGAGAGTCACACATCTACCACCATCTTTTTGTGGATATCTAGGCCTCCTACAACCTGAAACAGACGGAACAAATGAAGCTTAACACAAGCTGAGAAATCTCTCTTTATTAATGTAATAGGCTTGCCAAAGTTACAATAAAAACAAACAAGCTGCTGCCTCAAATCTATTACTTTCAGAAGCTAGAACTTCTCACACAGTTGTCTCAAGTTACAATTTCTCATGGGTTCTCTCTCTCTTCCTTCCCAAGTCAACAGATGATTAATGTTTAATCCAGATAAAAATGACATTGAATTATATTTGAAAAGCTAACTTCACAGGCTTTTTCTTTGTGCTCTAGGAACTTAATATCAGATGGTAAAACTCAGTTTTAAAAGTTGTTCTGAAAATCCAATACAGCTTCCCTGATTACTCTAGAAGAATAGCCTATTAAGAAATGAAATGACAAATGAGTGAAAATTACTGTGTATCATTTTCTTATGAACTTAAAATTCGCTAATACTGCTATTATTCAATAAAACGTATGCTATTAATGTTATTTAATGACAGCTTTTTTTTGGTAATGACAGCTAATATTAATAAAATGGCTACTAAATGAGTGAAAATAACTGCATCATTTTCTTACAGACTTAAATATATATAAATTCTATTATATGAT